TTACAATATTAATTATAATTACTTATAGTTAAAGGATTTGTTAAAATATTTGAATAAATATTTGAAATCAATTCAAGTATTTCAGTTGACTCGTAAATAATATTGTGTTAATTCATATTTCTATAATGTGATACTACCAGAAGGCTTGTTTAATTGGGTATACAGTTTGGAAAAAATTTCAGAATGTAAATAAGAAAAGGAGACAGAAAAAGATAAAAAATTGATAGTTAAATTCAAAAGATGAAAAATTATCGAATATAAAGAATCATTAATGTATTTAAAAGATGAGGAACAAATTGGGGAAAGTATATAAATAGGTGAAATTTAAGAGACTGTTAGATTAGAAGAGAAAAGTAAAAAATCTTGAAAAACATTTGATAAGATAAAATCAATTAAAACTAGTTTTAAAAGAGTTAAGTTGAGATTTTTAAAGAAAAAAAAAAGTAAATAGAAAAGGAGAAAGAAAAGGAAAAGAAAAATAACAAATAATTTAATTAATTGATTTTGTAATTTTTTAATAAATTTCATGAAATTTGAATTTTTTGCTGCTGTAATTTTTTGCTAAATTTTTTGTTGCAATATCAATTTTTTGCTAAATTCTATAGTAATTTTTTTGCCAAGTTTTTTGCTACAGTAATTATTTTACTAAATTTTTTTGCTATAGTATCAATTTTTTTGTTAAATTTTTTGCTGCAGTATTAATTTTTTTACTAAAATTTTTGTCACAGTATCAATTTTTTTATTGAATTTTTTATTACAATATACAAAAAATTTTTTGTTAATATTTTTAATGCCAAATAGCAATAATCATAAATAATTTATCAATCTTTTTATTATTAATTTTTATTAAATTCAACAATAATTTGATAGTCAAATGACATAATTTCGACTAGTGTTTTTAATCTAATTGTTTAAATTATAAATAGTATTGTATTTTTCTATTGATTTTTTAAGATTTTATAATTTTTCTATTTCTCTTAAGTCTTTCACCTTTTTAAAAAATCCCTTTAGTTGCAAAGTTTTTTTTGTATTTAACAAATTTAAGCTATGTTTATTATCTCTTTCTTTATGTAATGTAGCTTTTTTTGATTTAAGTTTATTGAAAGCTATCATATATACTTAATTCTTAAAGATTTTTTAAATTTATTTTGTATATTTTTTCTTTTCATCTTCTTTTGGTTCTTCCAAAAGAAGAAAATTTAATTTTGTTTTTAGCTTATAATTCAAGCTTTTATAATAAACTTTTCATTGTTCTAGTAAGAATCTTTTTATATTAATTCTTTTTATATTTTGTTTCTACAGTTTGATCTTATAAAGAGATTTTCATAAAATTGAATATTATTTTGGAATAGAATTTTTATTTATATTTTGAATTAGTTGAATTATTTATTATTTTTTTAATTTTTTGAAATTTTAATTTATTAATTGATATATATATATTAATCTATTGTTTTTTAATAATAATAATATTTTTTTATATTTTTTTAAAATCAGATATTTTTGAATTGAACTGTTACCTTGAATTCATTTGAAAATATTTTGTTGTTTTTAATTTTGAAAAGTTGATTTTAAATTTTTGATTAACTTTAATATTTATGTACAAAGTTTTTTATTGATAACATAATTTAATAATTTGTATAAAAGAAGATTATAAAGTTACTAGTATTTGATTTATACTTGTTTTAACTTAATAATTATTATAAGCTTTATTAGACTTTGTTTATATAATCGATTACAGAATCCTATTATTTGATTTTTTTTTTTTTTGAAATATTAATATATTTTTAAGATTATGAATCTTTAATAATAAGCTATACTATTGAAATAAATTTGTAAAGAATAAATTTGTTTTTAAAGAATTTTTGATATGTTTTTATTAGTTGTTACATATTTTTTAGAATAATACAATATATTATACTATTGATTTTTTTACTTTTATTATTTTGCTTACAATATATATACAATATACATATTATTGCTCTTATAATAATTGATTTTCAAAAACCAAATTATTGATTCTTTGCAAGAGCATTACTATAATTTGTTTGATGAAAAATAAGTCTTATATTGTTTTAATATTATTGATTGTATATGCTATATTAAACTATATTATTAGTATATGTATATACTGTATATTTGTATATTATTCATTTGTTATTAATTATCTTTTTTACCTTTTAAACAAGTTGTTCATAAAGATTATTTGTAATACAAGGACATAAATTATTGCTCGCGAGTTATTAATTACGAGAAAATTGTATATATCACAGCGAAATGAAATATTAAATAGTTATTAAATAGAGTGTTAGATACTGTATATTTGTACATTAGTGCAAATATTTTGTTAAGGAGGTGATACATAATTGTGTTGGTATGTTAATGTGGCGTTAACCGATGACAGGATATTTGTGGCGGCACGCCGGCTACATTCAATCTAATGGGAATAATATATATTTTTTGTACTTTTGACCGAGAGCAACATCAGTCAAACCTCGGGTGGGCATTCAAAATACACGTAATTCACATTTCTACATTTTGGGTTTAAACCAAGAATTGGGTGCTTCGGGGGATTGATTTTTTTCTTTTTTTTTTTTGAGTTTAAAAAAGTATATTATATATATTATAAAAACTTGAAAAAAATGTAATAGGGTGAGATAATGAAAGGACTCCTTAATATGTAGCTGACACACACCAATGCCCCAAGGAATTCAAACATGCAACTTAAAACGGACTTGCAATAAACAGGCGAAAAATGATCGATTCAAGTATGAAGGGGTTTTGAATTTATATGTAAGGTGAAATAAAACTATCATCTTAATATTACTTGGATTCTTCTGCTTCAACTTCTTCTTTAGGTTCTTCCGGCTTATCTGTTTCTGCTGGATTATGGAGGAAAAAAAAAAAAAAGTGAGGATAAAAGAAAAACGATTTATTGATTGAGTTGAGTCGAGTCATTAAAGCACCAACTGACCATCTTGCAAATCGGAGGTCCAGAGGGTTAGATTGTCTCTTAGCAATTGCATGATCAATGTGCTATCCTTATACGACTCTTCACTTAGGGTATCAAGTTCTGCAATGGCATCATCAAATGCTTGTTTGGCAAGATGGCAAGCACGGTCGGGAGAATTGAGGATTTCATAGTAAAAGACAGAAAAGTTTAACGCGAGACCAAGACGAATTGGATGGGTTGGGGCAAGGTCGGTCTGAGCAATTTCTGTGGCATGCTTATAGGCTTCGTGCGCCTGGGTGGCGGCCTCTTTTCGCCTCTCGCCGGATGCAAATTCGGCGAGATATCGGTGATAGTCACCTTTCCTATATATAGATGAATAAATATTTTTAATTAAAAAATAGACAATTGTATACGTACTGTTATTGCCTACGCAACAATAAAGTTTCAAACTATCTATTTTAAAATTTCATGTCGAGAATTCGCTCAAAACAATCCACTGGTGAATGCTAGTATTACTATGTTGCATAAAACCATGAGGTCTTCCGACAGACGTCGAACAACGAGGAAGCTATGATTCACTCACATTTTATAATAGAACACTTTGGATTCACCGGCCTCGGCGGATGGAATCAAATGTTCGTCTAACACGGCAAGGATGTCCGAGCAGACTTCAGAAAGTTCGGCTTCGACCTTTTGACGGTAAGATTTGATTTTCTGAACTTGGGCATCGTTGCCCTTGTTTTCCTCTTTCTGTTCAATGGATGAAATAATCCTCCAAGATGCGCGACGGGCACCAATAACGTTCTTATAAGCCACCGAGAGAAGATTGCGTTCTTCGACAGTGAGTTCTACACCGAGCTGGTTGCCATAGTCGCCGATGATAAGTGTGACAGGGAAGCGATGGACGAGAGATTAACATAATGCAAAGTTAGGTAATGAATGAAAAATGAAACGAGAAAGACGTTTACCTTGGCAACATCCTGTGATAATGCGCAGGCGTGATTAAAGGAATCAATCGGTAAATGGTTAGAAAAAGGGAGGAAGGGGGGAAGGAAAGAAAAAAAAAACAAATTGATAGGAATTTCACCGAGAGTACATACTTTCATATAGGAAACCATTTCTGATGAATTTCAACGTAGACATGATTTTAGCAAAATTGAATCGAATTGTAATGTCAAAAAGAAAAAGAGAAAAAGAGAAAAAGCAAGGTTTCAAAAAGAGCATTACCATCATAACGTTCGGCTTGTTCAGCGAGCTTAGCCATATAAACCTTTTTATTGGAGGTCAACAAGTAAAAATCAAACGAATTTTTGTTACAAATTTCTTTAAAGATTATGATATAGAAACAAATTTCATAAACGACATGTAAGTCTTTACGCGGTCAAATACCTGGGTTTCGCGTTCCTGCAAAAGAAAATTGGAATGCCGTGATTAAAAAGAGAAATTATGTGTGAAATACGAGTTGTAAGTCATAAATTAGTAAGGAACAGACGCCATCTAAGGTTCGGCAAATGATTGACAGGCAAAGTTTTCAGGTCATCCAACTGTCGATCACAAGTTATAACCCTCCTGCACCGAATTCCAAAGTATGGGGCGCGCAATAAGTTAAGGAGACATAGAACTTACAGTGTTAGTCGTCATTTTGTTAGTGTGTGGTGTAAGAAGCAAAAGGAGTTCACTTTTAGGTAGGTGAAATAGGTTTTGGGCAAGAAGAGCAGGTGCGTTGACAGCAGTGAGATACTAGGATAAAGCCGGAGCAACAACGAACGCACTACTGTTTGACCAGATACAAAAAAAAAAAAAATTTGTTCTGCTATGGGTCCTTTGTAGTACTACGATTTCGTGGTTGCGCAGATTGGCATATTTGAGTCAGGGATTTATGTGGCATCACTCATAGGGTAGTGGCATCGTGGCATCACACGTATCTAAATCAGCCGTGGCATTATCGAAATTCCCCTTTGGAATTAACTCTTTTGCAGTGATATCATATACAGTTTTTGCAACATCTAACTGGCGTACATTGCATTAGAAAAAAAAAAAGGTCAAAAGGGGGTGAGGCGTTTTTGTGTATATCATCGATAGCGGATTTGCTTATCATTGTACCACACATGCATGTGCCACACTGAACCAATCAAATTTATTTTTCCATTATTGGGTTAATGCACTTATCAACAATGTCATGTGAGATAATCATATCAGATTATCGGGGTATTCCTAACCACATTTCACGTGATGCGCAAATAGATGCACACACCTTACAGACTGACTGCCTTGTTCCCTTTAAACAGTGCCAAGCAACTTACATTGTACGGACATTCACCATTCAATGAATGTGATCATCATTCATTCACTTTACAATATCGACTATCGGAAAAAGGACCAATTCTAATTTCCAAATTATCTCAACAGCTCGTATAGAATATATACACAGTTAACAAGATATGTATGTTGTACATGAAAAGGTGGTCGGGAAACGAATCCCAGGGAAAACCACGGATACTTGGGACGATTAGATTTCTTTTTCATCAGAATAACCCATGGCAGTACCCTTTCGACCCTCTTCCGCTATCTGAACTTCGGTTTCACCAATATTTTGTTCGAGACCTCGGAATGTTCGTGAATTCAAAAATTCCCCTGCATCATTATGTAACATTAGTCATGAATTCCTTCGGTTCCAAAAGAAAAAAAGAAGAGACAAAGGGTACACCAACCAGCAGCACTACTCAGCACAGTAGACACCGATGTATTCTTGTCGCGCAAAGTCAAATCGGTGATACCTTCCAAAGTACTGACCACGTCTTCTTTTTATAGACCAACAATCAGTGATCTAATAATAGAATATCACGTGAAAATTCTAAAATAGTTACCAGCGGTATCCTCGATCGCATACTTCCGACCTTTTTTTAATTTGCCGGTAACCAGGGAGAAATGCGGCACATCATCTTGATCATTGAATCCCATGTCCTCTACAGCTTTTGTCCGTGAATTTTCTTGAGCATTGTGACCACTTAATAATAATTGCCGGAAATCGGTTGTATATTCTCCGGTCCATTCTTTTGATCTGAATGTTTATATACAGTGTGTAAATCGAATGAACCAATTGTACCCATTGCGGTCAAGATAGCAATTCAGGCTTACGGATCGAGCGACATTTCCAACTCAAAAGGCGTAACAATTGGCCGGTAGAACTCCTAAAAAAAAAAGATGTCACCCGATGATCGTTACAACGTGAAATACGCTGAAGATTGGTGACCAATATTTATATTAAAAAATATTAAAATAAAGAACCTTTGAATCAATTAGACTGTTTTCCGGGCAAGCCACAAGTACAAAACAATCGATCTCCATAAAGTTTGCCATCTTCGATATGTTAAGTTTGCCCATAACGAATGTATACGACTTCTTCCCAGCGCGAGAAATCAAGTTTTTCAAGCGTGAGATCATCGTCAGATAAGAGGCTGGTCAGCATGTGTATAATATATATATATGTAATGTATACCATTATCATTACCGTCGTCGAGACGTTCAAAAAAAAAAAATTAAATTAAATTAAATTTTGCATTTTACCCACTCCCAGGGTTCCCACAACTATCCCAATGACATCTGCATCTTTGGCCTTCTGAACCATGTAATAACTAAATAAGATGTCAATTAACAAGGAGTTTGATAAATCGATTTCCTCTTTTTTCGTGAAAATTTTGTACGCGTCAATACCGCTTCATTAAAGCACGATTTACATGCAAGCTCTCCTGACGCCCTACGCGTGTCTCCGGATCATATGAATACACCTGGAAATGAAAAGGAACTGGTTCAGACAAATATATAATCACGTAATTCTTGACAGCTTACTTTACACTTGTTATGCGTCAGTAAGAGATTCGACAGGGTAGAACTTTCGCCACCAATATAAAATATCAAAAAGTCTTCGATGCTCGTTCCCTCGGGAAGAGAATAATGTCTTCCTTGCGTTTCCGTACATATTTTGTCTTAAAAAAAAAAAAAAACGTCGAACAAACTGCGAATTCATTTTTTCTTTCGTTCATCAAAATCTTTTGTAGGACTCTTTTTTTATTTACATTAAACTTGCTGCAGCTTACCACCCACTTGACGCGGCACGAACGGGTCCAAGTTGACGAGGGATAGAATAATATTTGAGTAATTAAATCTCGCATGTAATTTCCGAGCAAATTCGTCTAAAAAAAAAAAAGGTCAATTGAATTGATTTTTTTTTTCTCGAGGTAATTAAAAAAAGAGCGCATTGTGGAACTTTCTTTACCAATACAATGACAGTATACCACGTCATACATTATGACGATTTTCTGAGAGTTGTCATTACCGAAGAAACCGTCAAATATCGTCGAACAATGATCCATGTCAATCAGCTGCTTTCCAAACACATATAGGACCGGTAGTCGGGAGGTGCTTAACAAATTTAGCGATTTAAGTTCGTCTGTGTGATAAATGGTCAGAGGAATAAGGATGAAATATCTATTACGGGCTCAAGCAAGAATGTCCGTAGTGAATTATGCATTCAGCATTGACGTGCTGAGCTGCTACTTCATCAACACAGCAGCTAGAATGGTTGATAAAAGATGAGAATTTGGTGTGAAACCTTCCAGGGACAACAACCAAAACCCACCTTCCATAGGAGGTGTCCGCCAAAATAAAATATTTTTTTTGAGTTCTGTTTTTGAGAATTATCGCGACCTCGGCAGAATCGGTCAATAATTCGTCCGGAAACTGAAGAGCGATCTAAAAACGCGTTCTTTATTTGGTGACCGAGTTCGAAATTGCAAAAGGTTCGTTCGCCTACCGTTTCATAGCCACCGGTTGTCAACGCATTTACGGTACGTTCGATCTCGTAAAATTCCTCAAAATTGAGCGACTTTGACAGCTTGTGACTTTTATTCTCAACAATTCTCTCTATGACAGCACTGCCGTCGTCCGAAAAATTACAAGAACCTTGTAACGACATGAAGGCGACAACTTGTCAAAAGTTAAACGCAGATCAGTAGAGCATTTATAATTCTACCGTGACTGCGGCCGATAAGACCTCAATCCTTATTGGATGATGTGGGTATCGATTCGAGGAAAAAAAAAAAAAAAAAAAAAAAAAAAAAATTGAATAAATTGTGCCGAGTGATGCGAAAAATTAATTTCCTTCTCTTTCGACGGTCATCATTTTGCAATGGCTCCTAAGAAACCAGGTGAGTTATCGAATCTCGGTTGTTCAGCTAATCATGATCTTTCCCCATGGAATTCGATCCTCGTTAACCAATCCCCTCGATGATGATAGCCGAAAAATCCAAAAAGGCCATCGCCATTGGCGAAGTGTCAAAGGAAAAACCAAAGGATAAATCGAAGGGAAAGGCCAAGGAAAAATCCAAGGCCCTTACGGCGAAGAAGAGTGTTGAGAAGACTTCTCATAATAAAATTAAGAAGAAGCCCCGTACTTCTACGACATTCCGTCGTCCCAAGACGCTCCGTCTTCCCAGAGTACCCAAGTATCCGCGTAAATCCATTCCTCACGCACCTCGCCTGGACCAATACAAGATCCTAAAGAATCCTCTAAACACCGAATCCGCAATGAAAAAAATAGAGGATACAAATACGCTCGTTTTCATTGTTGACACTCGGGCCAACAAACGTCAAATCAAAGAAGCGGTGAAGAAGTTATATGATGTTGACGCCCAGAAAATCAATACCCTGATAAGGTAATCCTTCATTCCCGATGATCTTGAAAATGTAAACGGTCTCGTAACAAATTATCATCATTTTATCAGACCTGATGGAACAAAGAAAGCTTACGTTCGCCTCACCACCGACATGGATGCCTTGGATATCGCGAACAAGGTTGGAGTTCATGCGTTTAAAAAATTCGGAGCTTGTTTTTTTTTAAACAAACGATCACATAAATTTATTTTTAACGTCAATCCTCTTCTAGATTGGATTCATCTAGTCCGAGTCTATGACTTTACATTATCACATAAAAATTATCTTCAAAGATTGTAAAGTTGAAGAGATTAATTAAATTGATATATCGACAATAATGTAACATGTCATATATCTACATTTCCACTGAAATTTTCAATCTAATAATTATGGAAATCGTAAGAGATCAAGACATACCGCATCATTTATTTTGCAAAGATGTTGTCAATTTGAACGTGTATATTCTTAGACGCGGAACACTTCAAGTGTTTCTGGTGTATAATATTTCAAAATTGTCTCGGACCAAAATTTGCTTTTTTTTTTTTTAAATCATCGAGTTTTTTTTTTTTTTACATTAATTAGTCAATATTAAATTCATCCTCTTCAGGATCGGGCCCAGGTGGTAAAAATTCCTCGCCGGGACACATCATCTCGAAATATTTCTTTGCTTGAATTGCTGCGTCCTCGCAATCAAGCGATGAACTAGGATCGTCGGAGACAATTATGTTATCCGGTAAATCCGGTGTGGAAACGCGACATTTATGACGATAAAAGAGTGTAAATAAAGGATTTGGTTTTGAATTCCCTTCTCCGCCCTGGTCTAATTAAAAGAGAGGAAAAAAAGAAATCTTTAAATTCATTGCGCACAGGAAGGATCAGATAGAACGGAACAGCATCGAGCCTATTAGCTTGCCTCTGTCATCATAAGTAGGAATGTTGACCAATTCTTTCAATGCGTCGATCAAATCTTCTTTTGCACTCTTCCCGCTCGCCTTCGTTGATAAATAGAGAACGTCTGCTCATTAACGATAAAAAAAAAAACGGATGGTTGTGAATAACACGGTCCACCTTGTTTTGTTACATCTTGTGACTTAAAAAATGAAAGCGTATCCAAAACTAACAATTATCGTCAGGGCACGATTGCGTTCCGGCGGAAAATTGTAGCACGCTGATTGGATATCTGTTGTTCACTTCGTTAGGTGGAAAAACGGTCAGCGTGGCATCACTGCTTTCTTCATGTATAAATCTATCTATGATCACTATCGCAAGCGACGTTTGTTCCCTACACAGAAATGATAAATGATATTGTCAGCAATACGAGACAGACAATTATTATGCGGCATGTACCATTTTTCTTCGTCATCTATGAATTTTATAGGTAGATAATCAATTGCCGTTACTAGAAAAGTGGACGAGAGTTGTTGCTCATTGACATCCACCAGCCCGGAGAATTTGTTTGAACTTTCATTAATCAAAATATATTTCACGGGGTGGTCGAGCATGTAGATGCCACCGTACACGGCGCAAACTCTACAAAAAAAAAAAAAGAAACCAATTTAATAACAGAGATTTAAAAATTTTTTTAAAACACTCGCCTCTTATCGACAAGAAAATTCTTCAGGCACATGTCATACCTACAAAATCCTTGCGCGATTTCACTGACACTGCCATACAGTGCTACCAAAAATGCAGCATTTCCGTATCGACCAAGTGATTTAAGATATCTTTGGGTTTTTTCCAATCCTTGTGCGGTGTTAACTTTCACAGGAAAAGATGATCACGATAATTTTTAGCCCGGTGTCCTGCTAATCGACGCAATCATGCGAAGCTCAATTCAAACACGTACCATCCAATTCTCCAATTTGAATTAGCGAAATGGTGTACAATATTGCGGACAATAATTTGCCTTCGATTTTGAATTTTTCTCGGAGAAAAGTAGCGAATGGCTTCTCTTCAAAACCTGAGTCACGTTATTATTATTATTATTTTTTTTTTTTTTTTTTATGCGAAATAAATTATTCTATTTTTCAACCGAATTTATATATCATGATGATCGGGTTGATGCAACCAACTCACCCGAGTAAACTTCCGGAGAGTTCGAATAATCTAAAGCGAAAGTCAAAAATCTCATCAATGTTCTCTTTTCAACAAAAGACATAGTCTGACTAGTAAAAACATCATCTTTGGAACACGGAACCTTGTCATGTTGGATGAAGCGTGAGTTCAATCACAAACGTATCACAATGCAATCATGAAGGACAATTATCATCTCATACCTTATCAAAAGTGCCGTCAGAATAGATATAAGTTCTATCCATGGCCTTAAAATTCAAGTATCTACCGACCCCAGAACTAATCAACGTTTCGATCAACTCTCCGCGACACGGCACCATCTTTGGTGCTATGTCTAGGTTGTATTTCTTCGACTCGTTTAATAAAGTGGCCAGGGTCTCGATTCTCTCGAAATTAGATAAGCTCGTGGACACGTGACGTACAGTATCATCGGATATCTCCTTGGAGCCTTTATGGAGCTGAAGGAGATGTGAAAGTCGAGAAGATTCTATCGTGATCGCCTCCTCGTTTTCCCGCGTTCGATCAAGAATTTTGGATTTGAATTGTTCGGCGATGACTGTGGAGATGGCATCATTTTGCTCGGATGCCTCGGAATTTAGTAGGTATCTCGCCAACGCGTCATAATCTGGCGCAGTTTTTGTAGAATTATCATCATCGACGATCATTTCATTTTCATCGTATTCATCACTTTTTTGAGAAACATCATCATGCTCATCATGCTTGACGATGGCGTAAATTTCGTACTCAAGTGTGGAATATGCTTGTTGGCGAATTAATTGAAAATTGACTGGTAAAGCCCGCATGCCTTCAATACCTGGTCAAAATGCGTTATTCATTGGTTCGGAATTTGGTAAAGGGATAGAACATTTTAAATTTGCCTAATTACTTTCTTGTTCGTTCCCGTCGGCCGAATCAACAAGGTCTAGAAATTTTCAATAGTAACGACCAAAAATGTCAACATTCATTTATTCATAGTACACGGTGTCAAAAAAGTGACCAAATCGAGTGAACGACCTTGCGTGCAATGGGCCCAATCCAAAAGCTCTCGGAAGTTGAACGAACACCAACTTCCACCATACAGCCCGTTCGCATCCAGGTGCAAGACCGACTTCCCTATTCTCGCCAAAGCACTGTGTATACACATCTGACTTAATACTCTGTGAGAAGGAATTCCAAAGTCCAGTAAAAGTAAGCTCTGCCCTTACCCGGCGAGAATCGACTCGACTAAGCCTGTGCCAAGGATGATAACATCGTATTCGGTTACCTCTAATAGCTGTGACATGTTTTCGCAGAGAACAGAACAGTGATAAACGTTTTTGGGCAATTGCTGCTGATCTTTAAAATCTATGGCGTTTATTTTTAAACTATTCAAGAAAGAAACTTGTCATCTTCATAGTAACAAAATCAAGGATATGGGCTAAAGATGTTGATATTTTTGCAAGATCATGTTTAATAATCGGTTAATTATAACTGTAATAAAATGTATATATCTATTTAAAAAAATTTTATTAACGACAAGAAAATCTTTATAGACTACAAATATTTTTTCTATAAATACATTCAAATTCAAAGTTTATGAAAATTGATAATCTAGAAAATTTAATTTATCAGTATATAATAATAAATAATATTTAATTTTAGAAATCTATTCAAAGGAATTCTTCACACTGATCAGGTGACGCCTTATCCCTTTCGGCTCTCCGATCCAATCTGGGCCATTTGAAAACTCGATAACCATGAAAAAATATTTACAAAGTCTTATAACCACGCTCGTGTAAATACTAGATTAATTACATATATGGTCAGATTTTATTAAAAAAAAAAAAAAAAAAAATTTTGCCTAAATAGAAATGCACATGTTATCGCAGAGGGAATCGGATACTACTTTTATGAAATAAAAGCCCTCTAAGACCGTCTCTATAATGGCCTTCTTTTCTATACGTATTAATGAATAATAATGATATAGTTTCTTTATGATACAGGTGAATTATGGTGATAAGATTTAGGATGATAAACATTGTCGTTCAATTGATTATCCAAATATCTTTCCAAAACCAGCTGAGAATAATCTTCCAGCAATTCCTGGATTTGCGGTGGCAGCTCTCGCTGCAAATCCAGTAGCCCACTTCTTCTTAGCATCTTTATCACATTGGGTGTAACCAATCACATTAGCCATGTTTAAAGTTATGGCGACGCCCACAATTAAAAGCCATTTTGGCTCGAATAATGAGAGAAAGGCGAACAAAAGCCATATTACCACGGTTATGTACAGTGAGGACCAGAAGATACGGGAATCGGTTGCATTCACAGGTCTTGAAGGCTTTTCAATTGCAAGATGGGGACAAATGTCACTTGAAAGTCGTAATGCAAACGAAATCATTCGGAAGAATGAGCCAAAATACTCACATCTCGACTTTCAAACATCCAAACATTGGATCCATCCGGTTGAATATCATTCCACCATCTTAGTCCAACTAATAATCTTCCAGACACATTTTTGACCGTCCAAAAATCAAAGGATAATAGTAAGACGCATATAATAAAAATTAAGGGAAAATTGCTAGTGATAAGAGAACCGAAAAGGTAGATGATCACAGCCGCTGAACGAAACAAGAGGTGGAAGAACAAGGCCACCGGGTGGCTGGATATGATGAATTCGTAAACGGTGATTACTAATCAGTAAGTTCGAGTATCGATTAACGTTAAGCGTGAGAAGAGTGCCTTGCCTAGATTGATCCCAGATGCTTTGATTCTGATTGTTGTTTGATTGGGCTGTCGATGCTGGCGCGGTATTACTTCCGATGTTTCCCCTAACGTTCAAATCGCGACCAGCCTCAACATCAGGCTCCAAAGATTCTGAAATCGCAAAAGGAGCGGCCTCAGATAACAAGTGCGAGGTTGAGGTTTCCTTTGAATAAATAAATCGGTATGAACATACTAGCAGTCTAACACGTAATAAAAAGCCACGGAATAAATACCATTTAAAAAAAAAATAAGTCGTAAATATAAACTTCTGCTAAAGGGCACACACAAGTTTTATAATTTTATTTTTAAGTTTCACAAATAAAAGTGGTACACGTGTCCATCAGACAATTGTGTGCGTGCACGAGCCTCTACGGTTTATTAAAAGTTATACATGGGAGGAACAACGACGTTACGAAAAATAAAGTGCACACATCAAGGTTTTAAGCAATTTTAATAATAGAAGTTCTCCTGAGAGACAGTTGTGTGGCATATGGAAGAAAGTTCAAAAGTTAATCGATCCCGTTGATTGTTCAGTCCTCGTTCCAGCAAGAGCAAAAACCAAAGCTTTTTAATTTAAACCTTGGAAATGGGAAACCACATCTATGAGAACTTTGAAGGAAAGATCATAAACAGTTAGGACCTATACCATTACTTACCACAGTTCCAGAAGAAGAAGCTATACGCGGCCAAAGATCGGCGCATTCCTTTCCAACAGGACCCGTGATAGCAGAACCTTTCATCTCCCCCTTGGGATTCACTATAACACCTGCATTATCTATACCACAGATTACGATCACTAATTAGGAGGCGTGACAAAAAGAAAAGCATAGGCGGAAAACAGGTAAAATTGATCACCTTCGAAATAGAGGAAAACGCCATCTCTTCTGCGCCAAGGTTTCCTTTGTCGGATCACAACGGCAGGCATGACTGCGAACGCCCTAACAAGTTTAATACATCCGTGCGAAAAGGATGGCGAATCGTGCATGAACTATTCGATCTACCTTTTTTCCTTAGATCCGGTTTCCCTTTCTTGACCGTGGCCATAACCATATCACCAACGCCTGCCGCCGGCAACCTGTTTAATCGACCGTGAATACCTTTAACAGATATCACGTATAAATTTTTGGCTCCCGAGTTATCGGCACAATTCATAACTGCACCGACCGGGAGACCTAAAGTCATTCGAAACTTGTTTCCAGAAGCTGGATAATTGGAAGATGGTTATCCACCAAGTAACTAAAAATTGGTGCTATTAAACTCATCAGTAAAATCAATCCTTACCACCGCCGCGTCCTATTCCGTTGTTAAGAAAAAGGTAAAAAAATTTGGTTGTTAGATAATAATTCATAATTTAATGGCTGCCATAATCATATTAAGTGATCGTCTAATTTAGAAATTCCTAATTTTCTGAATTTCGACTCGCACAGAAATCAAGCAATTTATTGTCAATGTTGTTATCCTAAAGTACAAATAAGGCGAATAATTATTTTACCTCGCTTAGACATTCTGCTCGGGTGATTTTAATTTGTAGAGGAAGTTCTAACATCGTAAAAAATTTTTCACTTATAGATCTTGGAAAATTATTTGTGTTACCATATAACAAGACGTATAATTGTCACATGAAAATTTCCGTGTAACTTCGATCTCGACGATAAATACGTGCGCATGGAGTCGAAGCTGTTCATTCAATGCGAACCTCCTTTCAGAATTTCAATTTTGCGAGATTTTTTTTTCATCATTCATCGAGTTACTTATTTCAAGCCCACCGTCTCCACGAATTTAAAACTTCTCACTGGCATACACCCTGTCGGCAGATACGTTGTTTAATTGAACGCGACGCTCGAAAATATTCATCGGTTATATTTTCCAATATGGTAGTGGTACGCACACTCCTGGGAAAGATGCATAAAAAGTCATGATAGATCTTTAATTTTTTCATTGATCTAGTGATGTCCGTGGAGGTGCTAATCTTTCTTTCTTTTTCTGTTAAAGCAGTCGCACTTACCATCCTTTAGAAGTCGTCCGAAGGTACCTCGAAAACTTCATTTACCGCTTGCCTTACTTAGAGGGCTTAGTCTAGTACCTGCCAGTTACTGCTTTGTTTCTTTCATCCTTGCAGCAAATCATATTACTTTGGATGACGCGGACACCCTGATGGAATCGAAATGCACCGACTTGGACTATTGGCTAGGTGCCATATGGGTAAGTGGTCTTACTTATACTACCTAATAGCCAATAGCCAGAATCGTGATAGGTAGTTCGAGAAGGAAAATTGTTACACACCAATGCTGTCGGTTCATAGATTATTTGTCGGTCATCAGCAAAGAATTCAGTCAATTGTCTCTTTACTATTCCCTTTTTTACTTATTATTATTATTTTTTTGAAAAAATTCGGACTAACTAAATTTTCCTCGATAATGCATCGAGGTATGTTCCTTTGGCAATAGAATTAGAAACTCATTATTTCGGTTACACATTTTTAGTGTCTATTAGCCGGTCTTTGGAGTTATTGGTTAGCTGATGGACTGATGCGCAGATGGATTTTTCATTATGAAGTCAGCAGTGCCATTATCCGCCTAATTTCTTTGCAAGCCATCAATTGGGTCGTCACAGCATTTGTCGTTTCATACTACGGCTCCGATGAGCCAGTGATGGCCTGGGTAGTGTGTAGCATTGTCTTGGCTTTCAGTAATGCCATACAATGGCTTTTCACGTCCCCGGTGAAATATCAAAAAGTCGATAACCCCGACGCAACATGGCAAACGACGTGGAAAGATATATTGAGATATATAGTCATCCCTTTGGCGATTATCGCTTTCTTCACCATGGTATGCTTGTTGGAACAACAATCGAAATATCGTTATGCCGCCAATCTCGAGTCCACCAATTACAAGTTAAACTACAATATAACTCTCAGCGAATTTCGACCGGATTCCGAAGTCAAAATAATTATGATCGTGGTATCATCCTGGACAGAAAGTGGATATCTGAGAAGGATGGATTTCCGTGATACTTCGGTCCGATTGATTCCTTCAAATTCCGAGAAAATTTCTGTCGCTTATAGATTTGTTCTTGGTGACTCCCCTTCCCCAAAGGTTCAAGCGAGCATGGGCCAGAAGATACTTGAAGAATCGGAAAAATACGGTGACATCATCATTGTTCCAAATTCGGACCTTTATAGTGATCTCAGTCGCAAGGTTTACAAGGCTTTCGAATGGGCGAATAAATATGACTTCAATTACATTATAAAAACGAATGATGACTTCTTTGTACGCATGGACATCATCTCTAAGGAATTAGAGGAGTTGGGACCAGGGAAAAGATACTATTGGCGTGGTCTTGGATATTGGCATGTCCTTTTTTTATTATAGCCTCAATTCCCGTTATCGTCGTTGTTACTATGCTCTGGACTTATCGCATTCATCTTTTGCTGTTATAACAGGAACATCCCACCAATTCACAATGTCGCTAATAAAAATTCGGCTCTCGATTATAAATTACCGTTATTTCCGCCATTTACTGCCGGAGCGCTTTATATTTTGTCTCGTGATATAGTTTCTCTCGTTGTCACTAATGCCCCTAGACTCTTCACGAGAAACGAGGATCAAAATCTAGGGGTATGGCTCTTCCCCTATAATATTAAACTCATACACGATAGACGCATACAACAGGCAGATGTCTGCGAGGATGACATGATCGCAAAACATTTTAGCGATTCATACGAGAAGGATCGAAGTATGAGGGAAATGTATGAAAATATCATTAACAACAGGCGGTTGTGCGAAGGATTTAAGCAACGATTCTGCGCGTTATGCTATCCTTGTTGGGGTAGGGAAAACCATTGGAGAGACTGGAACTTTGATTGCGATGATGTTAAAGGGATCACTTTATTGCATCAGCAGAAATTTGCACTCTGGGACTCAAAGACTCCCACCAAAGTATTTGACGAACCCCTGAACATCACCATGGGAAGTAAAGAAGACGAATGGATAATACCCGGACTTCTCTCTCAGCATTCGTCTATCTATTCTTTGACAGATCGATGGTATTTGTTACATTGGTTGTGCTGGACGACAGATTCATCCACTTTTCAGGAACGTCATTACAAAACAATCGAGCTTATCTGGGTGCACACTCCAAACGCTATAGTTTTTGTTCTCACAACCACTTTACCCGACGATTTCTTTGCCGTATATAAAAAGCAAGGATATCAAATATATGTTATTAAGTTTAATAAAGGGCTACTATTGGATAGGCAATGGTTTCTCGGTCCAAATTCCAAAAAATGGCTTCAGGACTGGAACAGATGGGAGAATACGCAATTCTTCTTCTCCCACATCACCGATTATATGCGCTATTTGCTCCTTTATAAATATGGTGGCATGTATATGGACATGGATGCACTTTGGATACGCGCGCCTCCAGACACAAGAATAGAATTCATTGGCTCAGACACTTCCGATGTTTCCCTTGATCTCGAATGGACACTCGAGAGAGGCATTTATCTTGCACCTGGGGTTATGCGTTTCCGTAAAGGTTGGTCAATGTTCCGAGAAATAGGCGAACGCGCGTTTTCCCCGTCATACACTGCTTCATGCTTCAACTGTGTAGGCCCCCGTGCAATCACGACGTATGTGAAAGAATATCGGGATGCTCTGGAGAAGCATGGACTCACCATACTTCCTGGGAAGGTCCTTTATCCGCGAGGTCACCTTGGAATAAGCGAACTTTTAAGTCCGGATTTGACTGCAGATCAAAAACTATACAAAATTGAAAAGAGTTCATGGAACATTCATTTGTTTGGAAAGGTGACGAATTCGAAAGTGATAGAGGAAGGTAGTGTGATTAGTTCAGTTATGAAAAAGTTTTCTTTAAATATACCACATGCACCAGCGCCATTGGTGGGAAACGGGAAGCCAGATTTCCAAAATCACCGGTTTTCATATCCATTTGCTCTTGAGGGACCCGAAAAATATCGATTTATTTCAACGACAACCAACAAGAATGTGGATTATTATGCTGGCTCTTTGGATGGAAATTTTCAAGGATTGAACGTTATTTTCGTGCGTGGCGGTCCTGCAATTGCATCTAAATCAATCATTGTCGCTAAAGCTGCTCAAGGGAAACTGTCGTTTAGTTCAAACGGCGGTGGTTGGAGTGAGACATCTATAACAATTAATAATCCAAAGAAGAAGGATGTTAATGCGGTGTTGAACACCCTAATCTATCGACCTAGCGAAGAATTAGAGAGGGCAGGTGGAAAAGACATCATTAACCTGGAAGTGACATTTGGTGAACATCTCGATAAATTAGTTATTGAAGTTTTAATACCGGCGCCGGACAGTTTGTATGATAAATATAATGAACATTTATGATAAGATATGTCACGAATTATCTTTATATCTGCAAAACTGAAACAATTGAATAATTTATTTTGTATAGAAAAGGTATGTTTTTTTTTTCATGTATAGTGTCCACACAAAATGATGTTCGATAAAAATCATGTAATAAAACAATTGAATTCTTATACGGTGGTTCACAAAAGAATTTTACGATTTTCAAAAAAATTTCTTTTTTTTTTTTTTTTTTGTAATACTCGTAGCCAGGCTAGATTGTAATTTATTAATCAATTGAAAGCATAAGTACATTTTCACTCGAGCAGCATGATACATACTACAACTAAACATTTCTATCAAATCTAACAAACTTGTCACAAGCAATAATAGCTTCTAAGTTTACATTGGAAACAACATTTTACTCCACAATGATCTTTTGATGAATACCCTCTTAATCTATTACATCATTGCTAGCAGGTTGTTATTGTCAAATGTCCTATCAAATCACTGGAATATAGAAAATTACAAAGGGATGGATTGAAATAAAGGAAAAAGAAATATTTAAAAATGTATAAGTGTGCTATAAGAAAATGAAAAAAAAATAAAAATAAAAATAAAATTCTTCAGCTTTTTTCAAAAACCTATTTCATAAGATTTTTTTCAATAAAAAATATTTAATTAAAATATCTTTTCTTTTTTTAAACATCTAAGAAACTTATTTATTCTTGTTCTTGATTTTCTTTTTATATACTATTTGAGAAAACTTATTATTTAGTGAAAACCTTTACTTCCAATAATTTATTTAATCCTAATTTTCTTTAAATAATAATTTTGTATTTATTTACAATAGACAAGTGACTTATGATAAACTCAAGTTTTTATATAACTTAGTAAAGATTGAGCCGTGTTGTTTTAATATAATATCTTTTAACAATTATATCTAATTAAAGAAATTTTACTGATAAATATCTTCTATTATTCAAAAAATTAAATTTTTCAATAATCTTTTTACCTTATAATGATTGAAAAATTTTAATTAATAATAGGAATCTTAATTAATTATAATGTTTTTTACAAAAAACTCTCTCCGCTAATCCTCTGAACCACTTCTCCAAAGCAGCATTCGTCAAAAATCTTTTATTTTTTGCACTAACACAGCTGCCCCATCTTCATTTCACATTATGTAAATATACTGCATAGCACCTTCCACCCACGTTTACCTCCTTTTCTACCTTTTGTTTGCCTCAAGTATAAATTTTTGAGCAAAAGTGACTGAGGTATATCTAAGCTCCCAATGGCAAGAAAGGTTCTTTAGAGAGAAGACTTTTGATTGAAGACTCCCCTCCTTCCCCCCATAGTTAGGACAGGCAAGTTCAGAGAAGAAGCATATCACCAAAGGCTAAACTATGCACAGTGGTCTTGTCCTCTCAAGAAATTCACTAGACCTCAAGCCTTCTTTTGTGTGTAATTAATTTTTCAGCTTTTCTGGAAATTTTGTCTATTCCCTCTGATCCTGAAATTTTGGTTATACCGGACCTACTGAAATTTCATTGACTGGAGGGCTGGAGTTGGATAACGTCATACAGTAGCTGGAAGTAAACAAGACAATATACATGTTTTCACACGTGTCTCCCTTCATATCATCATCCTTGAAATCAGGTGTTGCTCTCGTCACGACTATCAACTTAATTCAATGGATATATTCTATGAACTGTCACCATCTGAACCTGATTTTTGAAACTGCAACCATTAGTTCAATCAACTTGAAAGAGAAGGAAGCCTTAAGATAGAAAATTGTTTAGCTCAACTCTTAAGACACAGAGGCCTAGCAAATATCTCTCGACTTTACTGCATCGGGGTAAAAAGGGTCCATGGCAAGGTAGAACATACTGCTTTGGATCGACCTACACAGTTATATATATGTCACTATCCCCAACCCTTTCTTCCTTAAAGATAGTATCCCTCCCACTTTGGAAAATGTAACAATTGCCCCGACCCATATCAAGAGGAGTTCTCTTTCACCAACTCCCTTACCAAATTGACTGTGCAGATGACCATCCTAAAGAATTTTTTCTTCCTGCTCAGCAAGAGTAGTTCACTCCCATATATAGCTGGAATCTAGCTGGAGAGTAATTTCATTAAAGGGATATAGAAGAGTTTTCCGCAGTACTGAGGCAACCTTAGGTAAAGTTAAATTGAATGGTACCAGTTATCGAATTGGGAGTTTATAATATCACCTGAAATAATCAACGAACTGGCAAATGGATATTGCTGGAAACTATCACAAAGTAGCATTGAGAAACCATACCAATATTACCACTCTGAATGCATTAACAATAAGTACATTCTGCCAAAAGCAGGATAGTGTGAACTAAAACAAAAGTTTCTTTCCCTTGTATGAGTTGCATACACTAGTCGAAATTATGTCATTCGGCTGCCGAATTATTACCGAATTTGGCAAAATTTAATAATAAAAATATTGACGAATTATTTATGATTGCTGCCACTCAGCATTAAAAATATTGGCAAAAAATCGGCAAAAAAATATTAGCATTCTGCGAAAAAAAAATTCAGTACAAAATCCGGCAATATTGCGGCAAAAAAAAATTTTGTGGTAAAAAATTCGACAAAAAAATTGATACTGTGGCAAAAAATTTGGCAAAAAAATTGGTACTGCAGCAAAAAATTCGGCAAAAAAAAATTGATATTGTGGCAAAAAATTCGGCAAAAAAATTGATACTGCGGCAAAAAATTCGACAAAAAAATTACTGTGACAAAAAATTTGGCAAAAAAATTATTGCAGAAAAAAAATTCGACAAAAAAATTACTGCGGCAAAAAATTCAAATTTCACGAAATTTATTAAAAAATTACAAATTCAATTAACTAAATTAT